GAGCATTAGCAGGATGTGAAACCCACTTATATGGAAGGCCAACTTTCTATATGCAGGTTTGCAGGGTGGATTGTGGGACTTGGGTATGTAAGGATTTTGGTATATACCCGGTGTGTGTTGGGGGATCTTGGAACCAATCCCCTGTGTGAGAAAAGACTGTATCTACTTTCAGCAATTTGAAGCAATTATTTCTATAAGTCTAATGATTTTTTAATAGATAATTTCTTAAAGAGGCTTTTAGCAATTTCTCTGTAGCTCTGATGTTTTTTAGTGCTTTTTTTTTTTTTTTTTTTTGGTCCAGGCTGGAGTGCAGTGGCGAGATCTCAGCTCACTGCAGCCTTGACCTCCTTGGTCTCAAGCTGTCCTTCCATCTCAGTCTCCCGAGTAGCTGGGACTACAGGTGCACACCACCATACATGGCCAATTTTTGTAGTTTTTGCAGAGATGAAGTTTTGCCTTGTTTCCCAGGCTGGTCTATAACTACTGAGCTCAAGCAATCCACCTGCCTCAGTTTCCCAAAGTGCTGGGATAACAGGCAGGAGCCTCCATGCCCAGCCTACTTGTTTGGATATAAAGGTAGATTTTTCTTTATCCTGCAGAAGCGCACTTTCAATCTGAAGATTTATATGTTCCTTCAGTTCTTTAATCTACTCAGCAATTATCACTTTCAATGCTATTTTTTGTGATGGAGTCCTGCTCTGTCTCCCAGGCTGGAGTGCAATGGTGTGATCTCAGCTCATTGTAACCTCCACCTCCTGGATTCAAGCGAGTCTCCTGTCTCAGCCTTCTGAGTAGCTGGGATTACAGGCACCTGCCATCATGCCTAGCTAATTTTTGCATTTTTAATACAGGGTTTCATCATTTTGGCCAGGCTGGTCTCAAACTCCTGATCTCAGGTGATTCGTGTGTCTCGGCCTCCCAAAGTGCTGAGATTATAGGCGTGAGCACATCGCCTTAATGCTGTTTCTCTATAATTCTTTTTTATTCTCTTCTTCTGGAACTCCAATTAATTGTATGTAATTTTTTGTGTCCTGTCTCATACATATTTTTATCTCTTTTTGTGATTTTTTTTTTTTTAGAAGCAGAGTCTCCCTCTGTTGCCCATTAAACCATGACTCCAATTCTAAGATAAAAATTTTTAAAATTTCCAGTGACAAAAATAAGTCAGGGTTTTTTGGGGGAATAACCATATAACCATTTATTGCCTTTTTTTTTTTTTTGTAACAGAGTCTCACTCTGTCGCCCAGGCTGGGGTACCGTGGCACAATCTTGGCTCACTGCAACCTCCACCTCCCAGGCTCAAGAGATTCTCCTGCCTCAGGCCTCCTGAGAGCTGGGATTACAGGTGCCCATCACCACACCCAGCTCATTTTTGTATTTTTAGTAGAGATGGGGTTTCACCATGTTGATCAGGCTGGTCTCAAACTCCTGACCTCAGCTGATCCACCCACCTTGGCCTCCCAAAATGCTGGGATTACAGGCATGAGCCACCACACCAGGCCTGTGATGTGTTTTTAATATAGTCTTCAGTATTATATTGCAAGTTCACTAATTACTCAGATTTGTCTAGTCTTAAGTTTACCCAGTTTTATTTATTAATTTATTGAGACAGAGTTTCCCTCTTGTTGCCCAGGCTGGAGTGCAATAGTGCAATCTCGGCTCAAGGCAACCTCCACCTGCCAGGTTCAAGCAATTCTTCTGCCTCAGCCTCCCTAGTAGCTTGGATTACAGGCATGCACCACTACGCTCGGCTAATTTTGTATTTTTAGTACAGAAGGAATTTCTTCATGTTGGTCACACTGGTCCCGAACCCCTGACAGGTGATCCATCCACCTTGGCCTCCCAAAATACTGTGATTACAGGTGTCAGCTACTGCACCCAGTCATTATTATTATTTTTTTTAAATAGCTTCACGGAGATGGGGCATAGTGGCTCATATCTGTAATCCCAGCACTCTAGGAGGCTGAAGTAGGAGGATCACCTGAGGCCAGGAGTTTGAGACCAGTCTCTATAAAAAAATTTTTTTTAATTAGCTGAGCATGGTGGTAGGCACCTGTTGTCCCATCTACTTGGCAGGCTGAGGGGAAAGGATGGCTTGAGCCCAAGTATTCATGCCACTGCAGTCCAGCCTGGGCAACAGAGTGAGACCCTGTCTAGAAAAAATAAATAAATGGGCGTTGCACAGTGGCTTATGCCTGTAATCCCAGTACTTTGGGAGGCCGAGACAGGCAGATCACCTGAGGTCAGGAGTTTGAGACCAGCCTGGCCAAAATGGTGAAACCCTGTCTCTATTGAAAATACAAAAATTAGCCAGGCATGGTGGTAGGTGCCCGTAATCCCAGCTATTCAGGAGGCTGAGGCAGGAGAATTGCTTGAACCCAGGAGGCGAAGGTTGCAGTGAGCCAAGATTGCGCCACGGCACCCCAGTCTGGGTGACAGAGTGAGACTCTGTTTTTTAAAAAAAAAAGGAAAAATAAATGAAAAGTTTCACGGAGGCGTAATTTATATACCTTGTAATTTTATTTCTATTTTTTTATTGAGGTAAAACATACATATATAATTTACCATCTTTACCATTTTACATATAGTTTTAAATGTACAGTTCAATGATTTTTGCTGTATTTATGAAGTTGTGCGACCAGCGTCATAATCCAGTGTTAGATTTCTTTCACACCAAAATGATCCCTTATGCCCATTTGCAGTCTGCCTTTGTCCCCACCTCTCTATATATTTCTGTTCATATATATTTGCCTTTTCTGGACATTTCATATAAACAGAATTATACAATATGTGTTATGCACTTGGCTTCTTTGAGATTCATTCATTTTGTAGCCTGTATCAGTGTTTTGTTCCCTGATACTGCTGAAAGTATTCCATCATATAGATGTACCACATTGCGTTTATCCTTTCACCAGCTGATGGGCATTTGGATTGTTTCCACTTTTTGGCAATTGTTACTGCTATTAACATGTACCAGTCTTTGAACATATGATTTTATTTTCTTGGGTAAACATTTAGGAGTGGAATTTCTTGGTATGATTGTAAATTTATTTATTTATTTATTGAGACAGAGTCCCGCTTTGTCACCCAGGTTGGAGTGCAGTGGCATGATCTCGGCTCACTGCAACCTCCACCTCCCAGATTCAAGCAGTTCTCTCACCTCAACCTCCCAAGTAGCTGGGACTGCAGGCATGTGCCATCATACCCAGCTAATGTTTGTATTTTTTGTAGAGACAGGGTTTCACCATGTTGGCCAGTCTGGTCTTGAACTCCTGACATCAAGTGATTCAACCACCTGGACCCTTCAAAGTGCTGGGATTACATACAGGCGTGAGCCACCACGTGTGGCCTATGTTTATTTTTAAAGACACTGCCAGTTTTTCATAGTAGCTGTACCATTTTGCATACTCCTCAGCAAAGTTTGAGAGTTCTATTTCTTCACGTCCTTCCCAACACTTGTTCTTTTCTTTTTTATTATAGTCATACTAGTAGATGTGAAATGGTGTCTTACCGTGGCTTTAATTTGCATTTCCCTAATAACCAATGATGTCAAGCACCTTTCCATGTGCCAGCTCCAACCATGCATATATCTTTTTTGGTAAAATGCCTGTTTAAATATTTTGCCTATTTTTAATTGGGTTGCTTTTGAGTTTCCATTAAATTTTTACTGCTACTTTTTAATTTCTGAAATTTCTAATTGGCACGTTTTATATCCATCTACTCTTGTTTTATTTGTGTCTGCCTTTTATAATTATTTGTGGTAAATGTTACTTTGTTTATCTCTAAAGATCTTCAACTTGATTATTCTTTTTTTGGGTTTTTTTTGAGAGTTTTTGTTTTGTTTTTGAAACTGGTTCTGTCTAAGTTGCTTAGGCTGGTCTCAAACTCCTGGCTTCTGAGAGGTGGAGACTGCAGTAAGCTGTGATCATTCACTGTATTGCAGCCAGGGTGACAGAGTCAGACCTTGTCTCAGAGAAAAAAAAAAACACAAAAACTCCTGGGCTCAAATAATCCTTCTGCTTTACCATCTCAAATAGCTGGTATTATAGGTACATGCCACCATGCCCAGCTCTCATTTTTTTTTTTTTTTTTTTTTTTTTTTTTGAGACGGAGTTTCACTCATGTTACCCAGGCTGGAGTACAATGGCGCGATCTCGGCTCACCGCAACCTCCGCCTCCTGGGTTCAGGCAATTCTCCTGCCTCAGCCTCCTGAGTAGCTGGGATTACAGGCACGTGCCACCATGCCCAGCTAATTTTTTGCATTTTTAGTAGAGACGGGGTTTCACCATGTTGACCAGGATGGTCTCGATCTCTTGACCTCGTGATCCACCCGCCTCGGCCTCCCAAAGTGCTGGGATTACAGGCTTGAGCCACCGCGCCCGGCTCATTTTTTTTTAAACAGAGTCTTGCTGTGTCACCCAGGCTGGAGTGCAGTGGTGCAATCTCAGCTCACTGCAACCTCTGCCTCCTGGGTTCAAGCAATTCTTCTGCCTCAGCCTCCCGAGTAGCTGGGACTACAGGCATTCACTACCACGCCCGGCTAATTTTTGTATTTTTAGTAGAGATGGGATTTCACTATATTGGCCAGGTTGGTCTCAAACTCCTGACCTCGTGGTCCTCCCACCTTGGCCTCCCAAAGTGCTGGGATTACAGGCGTGAGCCATCGCACCCGGCCTCTCTCATTTTTTTATTTTGGAAAATTTCTTTTTTTTTTTTTTTGAGACGGAGTTTCGCTCTTCTTACCCAGGCTGGAGTGCAATGGTGCGATCTCGGCTCACCGCAACCTCCGCCTCCTGGGTTCAGGCAATTCTCCTGCCTCAGCCTCCTGAGTAGCTGGGATTACAGGCACGCACCACCATGCTCAGCTAATTTTTGTATTTTAAGTAGAGACGGGGTTTCACCATGTTGACCAGGGTGGTCTCGATCTCTTGACCTAGTGATCCACCCGCCTCAGCCTCCCAAAGTGCTGGGATTACAGGCGTGAGCCACCGCGTCCGGCTATTTTGGAAAATTTCAAATGTATTCACAAGTGGAAAGAGAATATGGCAAACCCTAATGAACTTATCACTCAGCTTACTGTATCTCCCACCTCTTTTTCTTTTCTTTTTTTTTTTTTTTTTGAGACGGAGTTTCGCTGTTGTTGCCCAGACTGGAGTGCAATGGCACGATCTCGGCTCACCGCAACCTCCGCCTCCTGGGTTCAAGCAATTCTCCTGCCTCAGCCTCCCGAGTAGCTGGGACACAGGTGCGCACCATCATGCCCAGCTAATTTTTGTATTTTTAGTAGAGACGAGGTTTCACCTTGTTGACCAGGATGGTCTCGATCTCTTGACCTCGTGATCCACCCGCCTCGGCCTCCCAAAGTGCTGGGATTACAGGCTTGAGCCACCGCGCCCGGCCTATCTCCCACCTCTTAAGGCTCATTCTCTAAAAAACCTTATCCTAGGCTACTCAGGAAAAACCTGTTGAAATCTTGCTCACATATTACGAGTTTCCCCATGTGGATGGTATCGTTGGAATGGCAGTGATTATTCATGTCGTGCAACAACTGGTCTCTCTATGACCAGGAGTAGAGTGTTCTAAAATCCATGGTTTGTGTCATACCTAGCCTTTGGATTTGGGACATGCTGTACCAGCAGGACAGGAAGGTGGCGTGCAGGAAATTATACCTGCAGAAGAACCCTTCTTGCAAAACTCCTGTCCTGACTCAGTGAGAAAGTAAATGGTCCTAAACCTTCTAGAAAGTTTACATATGAAGAGATTGTGAGAGGGTTTATTACCAGACAACTCCTTAAGAAAGGAGATAAGCCCAATAAGAGAGGAAGTCTGGTTACCAGACTTGCTGAAGGAGTTGTGGAAGGGTCTCATTGTGATATATCTCCTCAGCTTTCTTCCTTTCATGAAACTCTGGATGATAATTATTGCAGGGATGTTGTTGACAATGTTGTTTGCAGTCACACAGTGTTGCTATAACGATTTTTTTTTTTTTTTTTTTTTTTGAGACAGAATCACACTCCATCGCCAGGCACCAGGCTAGAGTGCAGTGGTGGGATCTTGGCCCACTGCAACCTCTGCCTCCCGAATTCAAGCAATTCTCCTGCTTCAGCCTCCCAAGTAGCTGGGACTACAGGCACTCACCACCACGCCCAGCTAATTTTTGTATTTTTAATAGAGACAGGGTTTCACCATGTTGGCCAGGATGATCTTGATCTCTTGACTTGTGATCTGCCCGCGTCGGCCTCCCAAAGTGCTGGGATTACAGGTGTGAGCCACGGCGCCCGGGCGATAATTTTTTTTTTTTTTTGAAATGAAGTCTCGTTCTGTCACCAGGCTGGAGTGCAGTGGTGCAATCTCAGCTCACTGCAACCTCCGCCTCCCAGATTCAAGTGACTGTCCTGCCTCAGCCTCTCAAGTAGCTGGGACTATAGACATGTGCCACCACGCCGGGCTAATTTTTGTATTTTTAGTAGAGACAGGGTTTCACTGTGTTAGCCAGGATGGTCTCGATCTCTTGATCTCGTGATTCACCCATCTTGGCCCCCCAAAGTGTTGAGATTACAGGCATAACCCACCACACCTGGCTGATGATATTTCTTTAAGGTCTTGATGTAAGTAAAAATTATGCTTCTTCTGAGACATATTCCTTTACTGACACTATGAATCTTTTAATTGATTGCATTTCCCTATTGGTGTTGGTTGAAAGGAATCTAAAGCTAAATTTGTGACCCACACCTAGAAACTGTCCAGAATTTTATGGTATGTATTTTTGCATCACATTAATAGTTACCTCTGTTTGAATTTCACCATCCTTTTTTTCTTATTTTGCCCCTGAGGGTCTTAATTCATTTAGATTTCTACCCTAATGATTACATGTATTTGTGTAAGCTATCACAAATACTGTTAGAGAATAGGGCTGGGCATGTTTGCATAAGTAAGTAAATACAATAAAAGATGATTCGTTTAAAGTGGCACTTGTGGGCTGGACCTGGTGGCTCATGCCTATAATCCCAGCATTTTTAGAGGCCAAGGCAATGGATAATCTGAGCTCAGGAGTTCAAGACCAGCCTGGGCAACATGGAAAAACCTTGTTTCTAACAAAAATACAAAAAATTAGCAAGGTGTGTTGGCACGTGCCTGCAATCCCCACTACATGGGAGGTTCACATGGGAGGATCACTTGAGCCTGGGAGGTGGAGGTTGCAGTGAGCTGAGATCATGCCACTGCACTCCAGCCTGGGTGACAGAGTGAGGCCCTGTCTCAAAAATAAAAAGAAAATTAAAAATAAAATAAGGTGGCACTTGTGGCAAGGAATTGGTATTTTACATTTGAAAATACAGGCATAGTTTTAGAGCTTTAGATTGCATCCCTAAGCTCATTTTCTCTTATGTATCTATTTTTGAGACCGAGTCTTGCTCTGTCACCCAGGCTGGAGTACAGTTTAGTGATCTCGGGTCACTGCAACCTCCACCTTCTGGGTTCAAGTGATTCTTCTGCCTCAGCCTCCTGAGTGCTGGGATTACAGATGTGCACCACTACTCCTGGCTAATTTTTGTATTTTTTTTTTTTTTTTTTTGAGACGGAGTTTCACTCTTGTTGCCCAGGCTGGAGTACAGTGGTGCGTTCTCACCACAACCTCCGCCTCCCTGGTTCAAGTGATTCTCCTGCCTCAGCCTCTGAGTAGCTGAGACTACAAGCACGTGCCACTATGCCTGGCTATTTTTGTATTTTTAGTTTTGTATTTTTAGTACAGACAGGGTTTCTCCATTGGTCAAGCTGGTCTTCAACTCCTGACCTCAGGTGATCCACCTGCGTCGGCCTCCCAAAGTGCTGGGATTCATGAGCTACCACACCTGGCTAATTTTTGTATTTTTAGTAGAGATGGGGTTTTGCCATGTTGGCCAGGCTGGTCTCAAACTCCTGAACTCAGGTGATCTGCCCACCTGGGCTTCCCAAAGTGCTGGAATTGCAGGTGTGAGACACCATGCCTGGCCAATTTATTTATATTTATTTATTTATTTTATTTACCGACTCGTCCTGTTTAATACAATTTATTTTTATTTATTTTCAATTTTAATTTTTTTTTTGAGATAGAGTCTCACTCCATCACCCAGGCTGGAGTGCAGTGGCACAATCTTGGCTCACTGCAACCTCTGCCTCCTGGGTTCAAGTGATTCTCCTGCCTCACCCTCCCAAATAGCTCAGATTACAGGCTTGCACCACCAAGCTCGGCTTATTTTTTTTTTTTTTTTTTTTTTTTTTTTTTTTTGGTAGAGACAGCGTTTTACCATGTTGGCCTGGCTGGCCTTGCACTCCTGACCTCAAGTGCTCCAACCACCTCAGCCTCACAAAGTGCTGGGGTTACAGGTGTGAGCCACTGTGCCTGACTCATTTTTTCATTTTTAAAACTTTGGTTTTGGCCGGGCGCGGTGGCTCAAGCCTGTAATCCCAGCACTTTGGGAGGCCGAGGCGGGTGGATCACGAGGTCAAGAGATCAAGACCATCCTGGTCAACATCGTGAAACCCCGTCTCTACTAAAACTACAAAAAATTAGCTGGGCATGGTGGCGCGTGCCTGTAGTCCCAGCTACTCAGGAGGCTGAGGCAGGAGAATTGCCTGAACCCAGGAGGCGGAGGTTGCGGTGAGCCGAGATCGCGCCATTGCACTCCAGCCTGGGTAAGAAGAGCGAAACTCCGTCTCAAAAAAAAAAAAAAAAAAAAAAAACTTTGGTTTTGGTTGCACAAACCAAAAGTGAATTTGCAAAAAATATTCTCGGTACAAAGATGAAAGATTCTTTTGTTTGTTGTTTTATAGAGATGGGGTCTCTCTCTGTTGTGCAGGCGGGTCTCAAACTACTGGCCTCAAGCAATCTCCTTGCCTTGGCCTCCTAAAGCACTGGGCAAAGGGCCAGGTGAGGTGGCTCATGCCTGTGATTCCAACACTTTAGGAGGCTAGGGCAGGAGGATTGTTTGAGCTCAGGAGTTAAAGACAAGCCTGGGCAACACAGTGAGACCCCCATCCTCTACCAAAAATCCTTTGAAAAAATTAGCCAGGGCCAGGCATGGTGGCTCATTCACTTGTAATCCCAGCACTTTGGTAGGCCAAGGCGGCTGGATCACTTAAGGTCAGGAGTTAGAGACCAGCCTGGCCAATGTGGTGAAACACATGTAAATTTACAATATGTAAAAATACAAATATTAGCAGGGCATGGTGGCGTGGGCCTGTAGTCCTAGCTACCTGGGAGGCTGAGGCAGGAGAATCCCTTGGACCCGGGATGCAGAGGTTGCAATGAGCTGAGATTGCACCACTGCACTCCAGCATGGGTGACAGAGCCAGACTCCGTCTCAAAAAAGAAAAGAAAATTCAAAAAAATATATAAAATTAGCCATGTGTCGTGGTGCACAGGTGTAGACCCAGCTGCTTGGGAGGCTGAAGCAGGAGGATCAGTTGAGTCCAGGAGACTGAAGCTGATGGTGCCACTGCACTCCAGCCCAGGCAACAGAGTAAGACTGTATCTCTCTAAAAAAAAAAGAAAAAAAGAACAAACAAAACAGAAGACAAAACAAAGCACTGTGCAAAGATATATACATACATACATATATACCATATAAAAATGGGAGGGACGGTGGGGGGTGGGGAGCTGGGGAGAGATAGCAAGGGGAGAAATGCCAGATGTAGGTGATGGGGAGGAAGGCAGCAAATCACACTGCCACGTGTGTACCTATGCAACAATTTTGCATGTTCTTCACATGTACCCCAAAACCTAAAATGCAATAAAATAAATAAATGGGGGAAAATGTATATGGTATATAAGTATGTATATAATATATAAATGTAATAAATAAATACGATATATAAATATGTATATAATATATAAATACAACAAATAAATGTGTGTGTGTGTGTGTGTGTGTGAGACAGAGTCTCATTTTATCACCCAGGCTGGAGTGCAATGGTGCCATCGCAGCTCACTGCAGCCTCGACCTCCCTGGGTTCAGGTGATTCTCCCACTTCGGCCTCCCTATGAGCTGGAACTAGAGGCACACGCCACCTTCCTCTGCTAATTTTTGTATTTTCTGTAGAAACGAGGTTTTGCCATGTTGCTGATGCCGGTCTTCAACTCCTGAGCTCAAGTCATCCGCCAGACTCAGCCTCCCAAAGTGCTTGGATTACAGGCGTGAGCCACTTCGTCCAGTCTGAAAACATTATCTTTTTATTTTCTAAAAAAAAAAAAAAAAGACATGTGGTTCAAAATGAGAGAAAATATATTTTTTATTTATTTTTTTGTTGTTGTAGAAAGTGATTTATTTATTTACAGAGAGAAACAGGAGGAGAGAGAAAGAAACAGCTAACTCTCACACTGAGTGAGAGAATCCAGAAAAATGGAATCCAGGAGAGGAAAGCAGCTTCCACACTGAGTGGAAGGGAATAGAGAGAGATGGAGTTTAGGAGGGGAAGACAGGTTTTCATGAGAGAATGTGGAAGGA